AATAATAATAATAATAATAATAACATCAATAAACAGTAATAATAATACTAATCAAGGTGCTTCACTGATTGTGGATCGGTCCTCCTATTTGTTTTCATCAGTTTAGTTAAAGTGTGGAACGAAGTTTAAACGTTTTGTTAAATGTTTTACTGGAATGTTCAGAACCGTCTTTGGTTCCGGGTCCAGCTGAAGGTCTGAGCAGAACCTTGGCAGGTCTCGGATCGTGTCTGTGGGACTCGTCATAATCTGTCTGTGTTCTGCAGCTGACAAGGCGTACCGGGACATGAAGGTTCTGAAGATGAGTCAGTCCATCATCGTCTCCGGGGAGTCCGGCGCCGGCAAGACCGAAAACACCAAGTTCGTTCTGAGGTGGGTCGATGAGCGGAGGCTGCAGAACACCTCAGGGTTCTGAAAGCTCCGCAGCTTTTTAATGTTTCAACAACAAACAGGAGGAAATCTGCATTTTTATTTATACGTTAAAAAAAAACTTTGAGAGTCTATGAGTTTATTTTTCTTGGAGGGAATTCTGGTTCTGGTCCAACTGTGTGTCCACAAACAAATTTTTCACTCGTCTCCGTCTCTTTGGACCCAAACTGTGTGATTTTAGTTCAGTTTACGGTTTTAATGCAGTTCTCAGTCAGCCTGGAGGGTTCTGAGTTGACCGGTTCTGGTTCTGCTTGGTTCGTTAAAGTGAGCTCATGCAAACGTTTCTGATTTCAGATATTTAACAACGTCTTATGGGACAGGACAGGACATCGACGAGAGAATCGTGGAAGGTAAGGTTTGCCTTTGGATGAGACGACCCAGCTGAAGTTCTGGTTTCTGACCCAGTTTTGTGTTTTTTTGCAGCGAACCCCCTGCTGGAGGCTTTTGGAAACGCCAAAACTGTCCGGAACAACAACAGCAGTCGCTTCGGGAAGTTTGTGGAAATTCACTTCAATGAAAAGGTGCGTCTGCTCTTCTGTACTCAGAATAAAGTCCTGAAGCGTCTGAAGAGTTTCAGACCCAAATACGAGATGGCCCAGGAGCTGGCCCAGGATCACCCAGGAGCTGGCCCAGGAGCTAGCCCAGGATCACCCAGGAGCTGGCCCAGGAACTGGCCCAGGATCACCCAGGAACTGGCCCAGGATCACCCAGGAGCTGGCCCAGGATCTGGCCCAGGATCACCCAGGAGCTGGCCCAGGATCACCCAGGCGATGGCCCAGGATCTGGCCCAGGATCACCCAGGAGCTGGCCCAGGATCATCCAAGAGCTGGCCCAGGATCTGGCCCAGGATCACCCAGGAGCTGGCCCAGGATCACCCAGGAGCTGGCCCAGGAGCTAGCCCAGGATCACCCAAGAGCTGGCCCAGGATCACCCAGGAGCTGGCCCAGGATCACCCAGGCGATGGCCCAGGAGCTGGCCCAGGATCACCCAGGAGCTGGCCCAGGATCACCCAGGAGCTGGCCCAGGAGCTAGCCCAGGATCACCCAGGAGCTGGCCCAGGATCACCCAGGAGCTGGCCCAGGAGCTAGCCCAGGATCACCCAAGAGCTGGCCCAGGATCTGGTCCAGGATCACCCAGGAGCTGGCCCAGGATCACCCAGGTGATGGCCCAGGATCTGGCCCAGGATCACCCAGGCGATGGCCCAGGATCACCCAGGCGATGGCCCAGGATCACCCAGGAGCTGGCCCAGGATCACCCAGGTGATGGCCCAGGATCTGGCCCAGGATCACCCAGGCGATGGCCCAGGATCTGGCCCAGGAGATCAGCCGTTTTGTGTTGGTCGAGCATCAGAGGACTCCTCGGTTGGCCTCAGAGCTGTAACAGCAGCAGTTAAGAGTCCATCCAGCTCCTTTCATGAATCTGTTTAGATGTTTCTAACATTCCTGCGTCACAGGAGCTTCTGCCACAATGATCAGCTGTTTTCAGTGCGTTCGGATCGAACAGGTTCAGTTCGACTAAAGCAGAACTCTGGGTTGAGAACATTGTTAGACAAGCTGCTTAAAACCAAATATTCAAACAGAACTTTTTATTTCTGGAGTAGATTTTTTAAAAGAAAACCTCTAAAATAAATAAACTTGTTCTGTAATAGAATCTGTGTTGGGGTTCTCCAAGGTCGAGTGTTTGGACCTTTTCTCTTTGTCTTGGTCAGCTGTGATTCTGAACTCAGAGCTATGCTAACGAGGCACTGATGTTCCTGTTGATCTCAACAGAGACTCCAGGTCAATTTGTCCCTCCTTACCTTTGCAGCTTGAGTCACTTTGTACCCAGACCTGGGTCTGACTGCATCTTCTGATCTGAACACTCGAGCCATTACACTCCTATCAGACGTTATCTTCAGCTGCTTTAAAGAGAAAAGCAAACTAAAAACCCAACATGCAGTTGTCTTCAGTCTGCTCCGGAGGTCTCCTGGTGTTTTCAGAACCCGTTGGTTTGATGAAGGCAGCAGAATCTGAGGGGTTCTAATCATGTTTCCTGTTGTTTTCCATCAGAACGCCGTGGTGGGCGGCTTCGTGTCCCACTACCTGCTGGAGAAGTCCAGAATCTGCAGACAAAGCCCTGAGGAGAGGAACTACCACATCTTCTACCGCCTGTGTGCTGGAGCGCCCGAAGACATCAGGCAGAAGTTCCACCTCGGTTCTCCAGACATCTTCAGGGTAGGAATATTCAGACTCTGTCGGTCCGTTTGAGTTCTGCTGTTCTTCAAACCAACATTGGACCAAAACTTCTCCACGTTCAGCTGTTTGTGTAAAAACAGGCAACTGAAGTTAGGCCAAACAGGAGGTAAGACGGGGTTTTGTTTGGACCCAAGGGCAGCAGCAGGGTTCAGAGTGTGTCTGCTGATGGCACAGCAACAACTGGTCAGATCATAACGTTAGAACTTATGGACCAAATGTTCTTAATGTTCAAACAGCAGAACAAATCCGGGTTCTGCTGTAGGAACCCCATCAGAAGGAACGTGATCTGTGGACTCTCTGCAGCTGAACGCCAGGGGGCAGCAGGCGTCCGTTCATCAGAACACACTCACAGGTTCTACATCAGGTCCCTGCAGGGACCCGAGGCCCTGAAAGAGTCCAGACATGAGCTGTGGTTCCATCAGAGCTTCAGGAAAACTGAGGGAGTCCACAGTCTTCTGTGGGTTGGAGCTCCTGAACCGGGTCCTGTTCAGAAACCTGGACCTCCTCAGGGAGCGTTCTGTGGTTCTGAGTAAATGTTCTCACATGAGTCGCTGGTTCTGTTGGTGTCCCTGCAGCTGAGTCCAACTGCTGCCGTCCTGACAGCAGCTAAAGGATTGGCAGCACTGCAGTTTGTCCAGAAAGGACAAAATGACAGTTCTGATGGACAGATCTGATGGACAGGTCTGATGGACAGGTCTGATGGACATGTCTAATGGACAGGTCTGATGGACAGGTCTGATGGACAGATCTGATGGACAGGTCTGATGGACAGGTCTGATGGACAGGTCTGATGGACAGGTCTCTCAGATCCACAGATATTCAGAGGAACGTCTGATTCTGTCTGTTTTCCACCTCATATAATTATAATTCAAGGATTCAAGGTTCTTTATTTGTCATTCGAATCACATGTAGTACATGAGGTGGAACGAGATTATGGCGGCTGTGTCTGAGTGGTTAGAGCAGTCGTCCTCCAATGCAACAGTTGGGGGTTTGAATCCACCAGCAGTCACATGCCGAAGTGTCCCTGGGCAAGACACTGAACCCCTCACTGCCTCTGATGTGTCCCGTCAGTGTCTGAAAGTGATAAAGCTCTGATTAGTCTCTTTATGATTTGTTCAAGTATCTTTGTAGAGATCTAGTATAGAGCTGTATGAACGGGTCAATGAGGCACAGATTGTTGTAAAGAGCTTTGAGTTCCTGATAAGATAGACAGGTGCTGTATAAGTACAGTCCATTTACTCAGGGTCCCAGTTACATCCAACAATAAAATGTCTAAGAAAAACAGTAATAACATCTAAGATATGAACTAAGAAAAACATCAACTAAATATACACTAAGCACTCATAACATAAAACATTGAACATCAGCACAAACATGAACATGAGTCTGTGAGCAGATGTGCACGCATGAACACATCAACATGAAACAGATCAGCAGCAACATGAAACTGATCAGCAGCAACATGAAACTGATCAGCAGCAACATGAAACTGATCAGCAGCAACATGAAACTGATCAGCAGCAACATGATGTGATTTTTCACAGTGATTATTCTGATTAGAGATTCATGAGTCTAACAGCCTCAGGGTAGAAGCTGTTCCTCAGTCTAGTGGTTCTACACTTAATGCTCCTCAACCTCCTTCCTGAGGGGAGTGGGACAAAAAGTGTGTGTGCTGGGTGAGTGAGGTCCTTCATGATGCAGGTGGCCCTCTTCCTGCATCTGGAGGTGTAGATGTCTGTGATGGTGGGGAGGCTGACTCCAACATCTTCTGTGCAGCCTTCACCACTCTCTGCAAAGCTTTTCTTTCTGCAGCTGTGCAGCCTCCATGCCACACATTGATGCTGGAGCACAGGATGCTCTCCACTGCACACCTGTAGAAGGAGGTGAGGACTGAGCTTCCAGACCAGCTCGCCTCAGCCGCCTGAGGAAGTAGAGTCTCTGATGATCTTTCTTCATCAGGCTGGTGGTGTTGTTGCTCCAGCTGAGGTTGTTGTTCAGGTGCACACCCAAGTACTTGTAGCTGGAGACCACTTCCACCGCAGATCCTCTTATGTTCAGTGTGTGTGTGTGTGTGTGTGTGTGTGTGTGTGTGTGTGGGGGG